CTGACTATACCCAGCACTGTGCTCCCTGACTATACCCAGCAGTGTGCCCCCTGACTATACCCAGCACTGTACCCCCTGACTATACCCAGCACTGTACCCCCTGACTATACCCAGCACTGTGATCCCTGACTATACCCAGCACTGTGCCCCCTGACTATACCCAGCACTGTACCCCCTGACTATACCCAGCACTGTACCCCCTGACTATACCCAGCACTGTGATCCCTGACTATACCCAGCACTGTGCCCCCTGACTATTCCCAGCACTGTACCCCCTGACTATACCCAGCACTGTGCCCTCACCAGTCGCGTAACTACAGAGACAGTGCAGGCACGGGAACATGTTCTGGGGGTAGGTTGGGGAGGAGGGTGTTTGGGGGGAGTTTGGGGGGCCCCCATACAAAATTTGGCTATGGGGCCCTGTGACTTCTAGTTACGCCCCTGATTAGCAAATCTATTGTGTGCAGTGTGTGCTGTACATGTACTACATATAGAGTACACTGCAGCAATAGATTTACTATTCTCCCCTGCTAATATGAATGGGTTAAATTATCCCAGAGGCCGATGCATGATCGGATTTGTAGTTTCACGACAGCTGTGTGAAAGCAAATCCAAAATGTTTTATTGTTCTAAAACCGTCTTAAATTAAAGTTCTTCGTAATCATAAAGAAATTGGGCGAAAATCATCAGTCTGTATTGTTTTTTTTTTTTAAATGTCACCTGTCCCTTTAAAAAAATAAAAAGTATCGGCAATTGGTATCGGTAATTGGTATCGGTAAGTACATGAACTTGTACTTGGGTCTTGAAAAAAGTGGTATCGACATCCCTATTAACAGCCATCGCCTTCTGTTAAAAGCGGTTCCGGCCGCGTCCTTAACCACTTCGAAGGGCGTATGCGTGTGTACAAGTCCCCCGCGTGTTCTTGTTCTGCACAGTCCCTGTCCCCCTGTATGTTACGGCCTCCGAGGACATCGCCCAAATGCTTTTTGAATGATTCTACACTCTCAGCTGATACCACGGCTTGTGGCAGAGAGTTCCACACCCTCACCGCTCTGACTGAGAAGAACCCCCGACGCCCCTTTGTGCTGAAATCTTTTCTCCACCAGTTTTAGGTGGCGGCCTCTAGTCCTTGTTATGGTCCTTGTGGTGTTGCCGTCACCACCGAACATCGTATACATCAGAATCATGTCCCCTCTTAATCTCCTCACTTCCAGCGTCAACAAGTTTAAATTTAGTAACCTCGTCTCATAGCTCTGGTGCTCCGGCCCCTTAATTAGTTTAGTTGCCCTTCTCTGGACTCCCTCCAGACCAGTGATGATCTAATGCAGAGGCAATTATGATAAAGATTAGATATGTTTACAGGCCCTTTGAGGGCAACTATAATGTTGATGCGGCCCTCGATTGAGTTTGACACCCCTGCTTTAAGGTATCCGGATAATTCCATGGAGGAGCATTTAGGAGGAGACCGGGATCTCTACAAGGACGTGGTGATGGAGAATGAGCCGCCCCTCACATCACCGGGTAAGAGGAGAGAGCAGTACGGAGGCTCCGCCTACATCCCCCATCATCTGATACACACATAGAAACAATGTATTCAGTCAGTGTGTGTGTTTCCTACAGATGGATCCAGTAAGAGGAACCCACCAGAGAGATGTCCCCGTCCTCTGTATTCCCGGGATCCCACCCAGGAAGATCTCACCGTCCCTCATGAGGTGAAATAGCAAAATCATGGCTGATATCTTTGACCTCTTCATTATCTATGTAGTTACATGAGATCTGATTGTTCCCAATATTCAGAGTGAATGTGATGATGATGTTGAAGACGAGATAAAACAGGAAGAGGAGGATATAAAAGTTGAGGTTAAAGTGGAGACGTATGTGGGGGGTGACCGGCCGTCCACGGAGGAGGTCGGGATGATGATGAACAGTGATCAGGATGACATTTCTCTACCGATCAACACAAGTAAGTAACAGACACTATGGAGGGAACAGGTCACAGTTCTATGTCACTTCTGAGTAGAAGGTGTGAGGAGCACGTCCAGGTGATCAGATGTTGTTTCCTCCCAAATAGACACGGGGGAGGGAAAATGACTTGCTGATGAAATCTATTCCCCAGTAGACCATTAGGGGAATTTTTATGAACCGTTGGCCATTATGTATATAATTCTTTCAGAAGACTATTTCTCCTTCCAGTCCTTTGTTCATTGCTCCCTACTCCTGGACTTCCACAGTGTGTAGCGGAGAATATCCTCCATGTAGAGCTGTGTCATCCGGGGGAAGTAATGAGGAACAGGGACCACGACACTCTACTTTTGTTTACTTTGATGTACCCACCACCTAATGTTCTTAACATATTAAGTGAAGAAGTTGAAACCCATATGAAGGTCCATCTCCATTCCTCAATATAACGTCATGTGACCAACAATTGAGGAGGAGATACTGTACACCATATGAAGGTCCATCTCCATCCCCCAATATAACGTCATGTGACCAACAAATGAGGAGGAGATACTGTACACCATATGAAGGTCCATCTCCATTCCTCAATATAACGTCATGTGACCAACAAATGAGGAGGAGATACTGTACACCATATGAAGGTCCATCTCCATCCCCCCATAGCGGTCATAAAATTAACAGTACAATGGTCTCCAGTGTGTCAGAGTTGTTTTGGGTGTTTTTATCTCATTTGTTTTTGTATGTTGTGTTACGTTGTACCCAATTCCATGCCAGGGCTCTGTGATGACTTCTAGACCAACATACATGACTCTGATTACTGACGTGTGTAATAATTTCTCTCCAGCAGATGGATGTGATGTCAGGAATACCTCGGAGAGACATCTTATATTATCTGCCGATTATAAGTCAGAAGATAATGTCATCACACAGGATTCTCCAGGAGTGAATCCAAACACACAAAATATACATCACAGACCTCACTGCTTGGAGACATCAATGGATCCCTCTGATCAGGGTGAATCTTCTGATCATTCACATACTATGACTGGAAATATCCATCTAAGATCTCACACTGCAAGAGATCCATCTAATCCCGAGGAATCTTCCTCACCCCATGAAGGAGATCACAGAGGTGAGGATCCATTCTCCTGTTCAGAGTGCGGAAAATCATTCAAGACAAAAGCTCAACTTCGTGTACATCTCCGATCTCATATCACTGTAACTTTTACATGTTCAGAGTGCGGGAAATCTTTTAAACGGGAAAGCAACTTTTTTCAACACCAGAGAGTTCACATGGCTGAGGATCCTTATTCATGTTCAGAGTGTGGGAAAGGTTTTACTCATAAAAAACAGCTACTTATACACCAGAAAACTCACAAAGGAAGCCGTTTTTCATGTTCAGAGTGTGGAAAAAGTTTCAACGTTAAAAGTACACTTCTAACACACCAAAAGATTCATACGGGCGATCGCCCATTTTCCTGTTCAGAGTGCGGGAAATCATTTATTCAGAAAGGAGCTCTTGATAGACACGAACGATGTCACACAGGTGAACGTCCTTATTCGTGTTCAGAATGCGAGAAAACATTCACGCAAAAAGGATACCTTGTTAATCACCAGAGAAACCACACAGGTGATCGTCCTTATTCATGTTCAGAGTGTGGGGAAAGTTTTACTGAGAAAAGATTACTCCTGTCACACCAAAGAACTCACATGGAAGAGCGTCCGTATTCATGTTCAGAGTGCGGAAAAGGTTTCACAGGAAAACGTAAACTTCTAAGACACCAGAGGATTCATACAGGTGAGCGACCTTATTCATGTTCAGAGTGCGGGAAATCTTTCACTCAAAAAGGAGACCTTGTTAATCACCAGAGAATTCATACGGGTGAGCGTCCTTATTCATGTTCAGAGTGTGAGAAAAGTTTCACCGCCAAAAAAGTGCTGCTCGCACACCAAAGAATTCACACAGACGAGTGTCCTTATTTATGTTCAGAATGTGGGAAAGGTTTCACTGAGAAAAGATTACTCCTGTCACACCAGAGAGTTCACACTGGTGAGAGACCCTATTCATGTTCGGAGTGTGGAAAAAGTTTCATTTGGAGAGGATCATTTATTGAACACCAGAGCATTCACGTGCATGAGGGTTCTTTCCCTTGTTCAGAGTGCGGCAAATGTTTCACTAACAAAAGAAAACTTTTTTTACACCAGAGGATTCATACGCGTCCCTTTTCTTGTTCAGAGTGTGGGAAATGTTTTGCACAGGAAATGTCCCTTCTTATACACCAGAGAAATCACACGGGTGAGCGCCCATTTTCCTGTTCAGAGTGCGGAAAAAGTTATTCACAGAAAATGTCCCTCCTTAGACACCAGAGAAGTCACACGGGTGAGCGTCCTTTTTCGTGTTCAGAGTGCGGGAAATCATTCATGCATAAAGCCGACCTTGTTATACACCAGAGAAGTCACACGGGTGAGCGTCCTTTTTCGTGTTCAGAGTGCGAGAAATCATTCATTAGTAAAGGATACCTTGTTGCCCACCAGAAAATTCATACCGGTGAGCGTCCTTTTTCGTGTTCAGAGTGCGGGAAATCTTTCATTCATAAAGCATACTTTGTTATACACCAGAGAATTCACACTGGTGAGCGTCCTTATTCATGTACAGAGTGTGGGAAAAGTTTTGCAGGTAAAGAAGCACTCAGTATACACCAGAGAATTCACACGGGCGAGCGTCCGTTTTCATGTTTAGAGTGCGGGAAATGCTTTACTTGGACACAAGCACTTATTGAACACCAGAGAATTCACACGGGTGAGCGTCTTTATTCATGTTCAAAGTGCGGGAAAGGTTTTACTAAGAAAATAAGGCTTATCAGACATCAAACAAAAGGTACCTGCTGATTCTTTTGACAAACGCAAAATGGCTTTTAACGCGTAGAACTCTTCAGTCCCTAAAACATTTTTATAAAGAGGTCCAGCCTGACAAAACTGATATTTATAGGGGGCGTTTGATGGGCTGAGTCTTCTCTAGACTTCTATTTCTGTATTTTCAAATGGCCGTGTGCTTCAGCCTGGTGACCACCCTATTGCTGCAGAACAATATCATGATATGATACAGAGTACAAATCATATAATCCGGATACATACATCACCTGGAATGTGTCATGTGACTAATATGTCTTCTGTACATTACGACATAGTCATGTTGGGTCTCGAACTGATTAGTATTCTCTTATACATCTCTGTACACACTGGACGTTGCCTTCGCTCAGACACAGCTGTAACCATGGAAATTCTATGAAATGGGTTTACACCCTCAGCAGCTCAGTATAGA